TAAATGTGACCCTAGAAAAAATGGGTTTACTAGACATACACAGAACGTACCATCCCAAAGCTAAGGAATATATATTCTTCTCATCAGCCCATGGAACATGCTCCAAAATAGATCACACCCTAGGACACAAATCAAACCTCAACAAAATTAAAGAAATTGAAATTATACCTTGTATCTTCTCAGACCATAAGGCAATAAAGGTGGAACTCAACTCCAACAAAAATTTTCATTCTCACACAAAAGCATAGAAATTAAACAATCTAATGCTGAATGACTGTTGGGTGAAGGAGGTCATAAGGGGGAAATTGTTAAATTCCTCAAACATAACAACGATGAAGCTACAAGTTACTAAAACCTGTTGGATACTGCAAAAGCAGTCCTAAGAGGGAAATTTATTGCATTAGATGCCTACATCCGAAAAACAGAGGGAGAGCACATCAACAACCTAATGAATCTTCCTAAGGAAATGGAAATGAAAGAGCAATTCAACCCCAAACCTAGCAGAAGAAATGAAATAATCAAAATCAAATCAGATAAATGAAATTGAAACCAAAAGAATCATTCAGAAATTAATGAAAAAACAAGTTGGTTCTTCAAAAAGTAAATAAAATAAATAAACCTTTGGCCAGATTAACCAGAAACAGAAAAATAAAATCTCTAATAACCTCAATCAAAAATGAAAAAGATAAAATAACAACACATATCACAGAGATACAAGAGATTATCTCTAACTACTATAAAAAACTCTATGCCCAGAAATTTGGCAATGTAGAGAAAAGGGATCAATACCTGGAATTACATCATTTCCCTAGACTTACCCAAGAAGAACTAGATCTCTTGAACAGACCAATATCAAGCTCTGAGATCAAAGACACAATAAAAAAATCTTCCAACAACAACAAAGAAAACCTGGACCAGATGGATTCACGCAAGAATTCTATCAAACCTACAAAGAAGAGCTGGCCCTATACTGCAGAAACTATTCTAAAACATTGAGAAGGAAGGAACCTTCCCCAGCATGTTCTATGAAACAAATATCACTATGACACCAAAACCAAGAAAGGGTCCAACTAAAACTAACTATAGACCAATTTCACTAATGAATATCAATGCAAAAATACTCAACAAAATCTTAGCTAACAGATTATAGCTACACATTAAAAAAATTATACATCACAATCAAGTAGGCTTTATCCAGGGATGCAAGGCTGATTTAATATACACAAATCCATAAATGTAATTCACCATATCAATAGAAGCAAAAACAAAGACTATAAATGCAAAAAAAATTGATAAAATTCAGCATCCTTTTCTAACTAGAATACTTAAGAATATAGGCATAAGTGGCACATTTCTTAAACTGATTGAAGTTAATAACTAATATCAGCTAATATCATACTGAGTAGAGTAAAACTGAAAGCTTTTCCACTTAGAACTGGAACCAGACAAGGATGTCCTCTATCACTACTACTATTCAACATAGTGCTAGAAGTTCTAGCCAGTGCAATCAGGCAAGAAAAGGATATAAAGGGCATCCAAACGGAGGCAGAGGAGCTCAAACTCTGACTCTTTGCCAATGATATGATCTTATATGTAGGAAACCCCAGAGTGATCAAGAAGTACAGTAACATCTCAGGTTATAAAATCAATTCCACAAATTAGTAGAATTTGTATATGCCAATAACAGCCAAGATGAGAAGCTAACCAAGGACACAATTCCCCTCACAGTAGCTCCAAAGAAAATGAAATATACCTCAGAACATACCTAACAAAAGAGGTGAAGGACCTCTACAAGAGAATTTTTTTCTTTACAAAGTCTCATTTTGTTACACTTGGTAGAGTGCCATGGCATCATAGCTCATAACAACCTCAAACTTTTGGGCTCAGGTGATTCTCTTATCTCAGCTTCCCAAGTAGCTAGGACTATAAGCATCCACCACAA